TTTAGTGAAAAATGGTAATTTTACATATGTTTGATATAGTATTTCTATTTTTATGTTGTATGTTTATATATTATTGAAAATTAGTAATATTAAAATGTAAAACTTTAAATTTGCCATGTGGCATCTTTTTGAATAGGGTTATTATGATGAGGTGGACGCTCCCATGAGCCTCGATTAGTCCCTTTTAATAGTATAGATTGTAAGACACCAAAATCAGTCGATACCAAATTTTCAAATTCCAGGTAATATGTGTAATCTCATTTCATCGGGTCCAACTGGTGACATTATTTGAGGAAAAGAATAGCAGGGAATACTACGTTCCTCTTAGTTCCTGTTTTTTTTAACTAGTTGCATGAAAATTTTATTACATGTAGGAATTAGTAATTCCTCCATGTTCCTTTTCTTATGGGGAATTATAATGTAAATATGTTCCACTTCAAATTAGATAAGGAACCAAAAGGAAAACTATAAAATCTAGTAAAAATTATATTAATATGTTAATGTATCAAATAATTTATAGAAAACTAACATTTTTTAGTTGCACAAAAGAAAAGAAAACTAACAGTTTAATCCAACTTCTATGTTTGTCTTCTTCTATATAACGTTTGTTCATCAAGCTTTATTTCATATAACCCTAATTACATCTAAAAACAAGAGGAGGTAAGCTATATTCTTAAGATGATTTATTATATGTATAATAAGAAAACATACGCACTGAACAATGATGGTTAATAATAAGACTTGTTCATGTGTTTATGTTACAGCTATTATGTCAACTCCAAGAAATCAAAGTTGAGCACGTCGTGGACGTAAGTCAAACAATGAGGCAAGAACCACAATCGATGGTGAAACCAATCGTGAAGGCCAGGTAATTATATAATTTATTTTTTTCCTGCAATAATCAATTGTATAATATAGATATTTTAAGCTAATAACTAGAAATATGTACTTTAGTATCTGTGGAAAGACAAACTGTCAAGTTATGCTTGAACTTGTCATTGCGGAGTTAAGAGCAGGAGATTACCGTAGTAGAATGCCTGATGCTGCTGCTAAGAAAAGAAATGAGAACAAATACCTTGAGTTAGTGGGAGAAAATATTTGTTGGGATCCAGAAATAACTAACAAAGTTGGTTATTTTCGTAAACTATGGGGTATCAATTGTCAACTGATGAAACGCACTGGAGTTGCTGTTGAGGAAAATTTGTTAGCGTGTTGCAAAAGAAACCGTTGCCGTTCAAAGATTTGCTAGAACAAAATTTTGGTGAACATGATGTTGAGCAGGATGACCGCTATTCTCCCCATATGCTTGGCCAACATCTCCAGCAGACTCAGACTTCTTTAGCTAGCAACGATGACACAGTATTTGACCAAATGCAAGAAGATCAAAGTGTTGAACCAATTACAGATGTGCCTACCAATCAAGGAACCCAACCAGCAATTCGAAACATATTAAACCGCCGCCCTCCAAGAAGAAGAAGTAGCTTTGAAACACAGGTTGAGAGTGGATTTCAACGTGTAATAAATTCTCGTCAATACATTTTGGAACAATTACGCTCACGAAAAGTTCAGAAGCTATCATATGTGATGCGACGGCTGTTCTAGAAAAATTACCAATTGAACAACTTGGAGTATTTTGGGTGGCAGCAAATAAGCCGTTGAAGAATGAAGTAGATGTCCGTGAAGCATTTATAAAATTGGAGAGTGAAGAAATTAAGATCAGATATTTGGAGAGTTTAGTTGGCATAGATAGATACGGGAACCCATGCCCTCATGTTGATTTGCTAATGACAAGTCAAAACCTCTTTCAGAATGTTGGAATGACTGGAACTAGTTCAATGGGAATTGAAACTGATAGAACTCATTTCATGGGATTACTTGGGATGCAGTCATCTGAGTTAAAAGAATCAACAAAAGATACAGCACGTGTAGTTCATATACATGATGATGGAAGTGATGCTGAAAAGCTTGATTAAGTGTTTTGAGATTTATTATTTTATTTATTTTATGGATTAAGTTTGATATTTATATGGATTTTATTTTTTATTTATAAAATCATGAGTTTTTTTAAGGATTATATCAATAATAAGTTTATAAAAATATGTGCAGGATCTTCGTATTCTAGATTTACGTTCTCGTGGAATTGAAAATCTAGAAAAGGATGAGTTAGTGGAGCTTATGTTATTGGAAGAAGATAATTTATGCAAAGGTACCTGCATCCTATATTAGAATATTACAAAAGAAGTTTTTGTAAGAATCCAATGAACAACGTATGGGGAAATGGTTGGAAAATAATACGGGCGCAAATCTACAACAATGAAATCTCGTGCCATACTCTTATTCGTATGAGCTCAGAAGCATTTATCCGTTTATGTGAGGTCCTTGAGAAAAGGTATGGGTTACAAGAGTCACACAATACTAAAGTCGATGAGAGTGTTGCAATTTTTCTTGTTCTCTGTGGTCAAAATGACACTCAGCAAGACATCGGTTTAAGATTCGGTCATGCTCAGGAGACTATAGGTAGAAAGTTTCATCATGTTCTTGGAGCAATGTTGAAATTGGCAGTTGACTATTTACGGCCAAGAACAGCTTATGAGTTTGAAGCAATATCTAATAATCTACAAGGAGATAAACGATATTGGCCTTATTTTAATGGATCTATCGGGGCTCTTGATGGAACACATATACCTATTATGGTGACTCCAGGTCGTGATGCATTGCGATTTGTGAACCGGTAAGGAACAGCAAGTCTAAATGTTCTAGGAATATGTGATCAAGATATGCTTTTTACATATTGTTTCGTTGGAATGGCAGGATCAACACATGACTCTAGAGTGCTAGATACAGCTATGCGAGATGATCCGTTGTTTCCTTAGCCTCCTTGAGAGAAGTATTATCTCGTAGATTCTGGTTATGCAAATAGACGTGGTTTTTTAGCTCCGTACTGAAAAGAAAGAAAAGAAGGTACTCGATATCATCTTCAAGAATTTATAAATTGTGAGCCTCCAAGAAATAGTAGAGAAATGTTCAAGAGATGGCACGCATCATTACGTTAAGTTATTGAACGTACGTTTGGAGTATGGAAGAAAAAGTGGAGGGTTTTAAATGAATTCTCAAGGTACGATATCTCGACACAGAGGAAAGTTATATTTGCAACGATGGGGCTTCACAATTTATTCGGTGGAATAAAATTAAAGATGTCGATTTTGAGGAAGCGACTACAGAGAATAATGGTGTGCATATGAATCAAAGTGAGAACGATTCAGATGATGAAAATGAAGTACGAGGAAATGAAGAAGCAGTTTATATGAAGATCGTTCGAGATCAGATTGCTACACAATTTTGGTCAGATAAAAGACTTGGTTCTCGTCGGCAATAGGTTTGTGTTTTTCTCTTTAGTGTTATGTATATTTAACAATTATAGACTTAGCTCTCATCTAGTATCTCCTAATGAAAAGTTTTTGTTTTGTAATTATGGATACATGCATTGTAGGCGACTGAAATGTAGAAACATGAAACTTAGACCAAGGAACTTATTTACGTCCATTTATTATTTTTAGAGTTAATTATTAAATTATTTTTTCTTTGAATTTTTTTTCCTCTGTTTTGGTTACCATTAACTATAACAATTGATTAAGTTCCTTGTCTACAGTTTTTCCTTTTAATTTTTTCCTTATTATTCCTTTGGCTTATTTTTCCTATAGTTCCTGTCCTTTTTAGAGTGGTCACCAGTTGGACCCAGAGGCGGTCCTTGGCCAAGCCCATCAAGCACTCGCTTGCGGCCGACAAATATATATAAAATTTCCGGCCACAAAATTATAAGGATACACGGTGGTGTAGTGGCTTAACGTGAGGGCTTAATGCGGCTGGCCCTGGATTCGATACCCCCATGTCGCAAATTTTTTATTTTTTTCCGAATTTACAATAAAAGTAATGCTAAATTAACTTTAAAAAAAAAAGGAAAATAGGGTTGACCTAAAATTTTGCGTCTTTTTTTTTTGCCATTGTCCCAAACTCAAGTCTAAACATCTCCTCAATTGATATCATCATTCTAATTCATATAACTTGAATCCCTTACTTATTCTTTTCTATTTCTATAACTAGAAACCAATTGTCTTCTCTTCTTCTTGATCAAGTGGTAAATCCATTATTCTGTAACATAGTTGGTTATTTTCATATTTTAAACATATTTTATCTTCTCGTGATAGTCTATATGTGCTTGTTCATAGTAACTAATATTCTTTTAATCATTGCAGAAAAATGGGTCCTAAAAGAATTAGAAAAGAGATGGGGGTGCTGAAAAAGAAAGAAAAAAGAAAAAAGAAGAAGCTTTCATAAAATCTCAAGCTAATTCAATGTTAAGGTATGTTAAAAAAACCGAAGCTCCTAAATATGATGAGGTTGTCGAAGATGAGACTATAGAAGATATGGAGGATGGTGATATTGATGAGGATGAACAAAACTTGGATGTGGATCAGAATAGGAATAATAATGGGAGCGAAGCTGGTAGTGAGAGCAAAAAAGATACTGAAAATAAGGACGAAGAGAGAAAAAATGGATGGTGTTAAAGAATACCAAATAAGTGGAGATGTCGATGATCCTGGAAACTGGAAAAAAAATTGATAATAGAATCAGAGATTTTCTTGTCCAGAAAGATCCAACTATGCGGTTGCCGATTGATTACCATTTTCCAAGAGATTATGTTGGTAGATGTTTTTCTCATTCGTCTTATACAAGAGAAATAAGAAATGGAGAGAAGCAAGATAGACACTGGTTACTTTACTCCAAAGTAAAAGATAAGATCTTCTGTTTTTTCTGTAGACTATTTACTCAAGACAGAAACTCTAATCAGATTGCAACCAGTGGATACAATGACTGGAGAAATATTTCAAAAATGCTAAAGGAGCATGAAAAAAAGTCAAAATCATATCGTATGTATGACTCAATGGATAGAGCTAGAAGTGAGACTAAAGACGACTCAGACCATTGACAAACATATTGAAGAAGAGGTTAACAAAGAGAAAAAATACTGAAGAGATGTATTGTTGAGGATAATTGCATTGGTGAAAGGCCATGCTAAACAAAATATGGCATTTTGTGGAAAGAGTGACAAGATCTGTGTGGCTGGTAATGGGAATTTTTTGGGAATGATTGAAGTATTTGCAGATTTTGATGAAGTGACGAAAGAGCACATTAGACGAATTGAAAAGCATGAAACTCGTAATCATTATTTGAGTCACAAAATTCAAAATGAGTTGATACAAATGCTTGGGAGTGAGATCAAAACAATGATCTTAAAGAAAATTCTATGTGCAAAATACTATTCAGTTATTCTTGATTGTACTCCTGATATCAGCCTCACAGAACAGATGTCACTGGTCATCCGATGTGTAGATATTTCTGAGACCTCACGAAAGATCAAAGAGTTCTTTTCGAAACTCTTGGAAATTAAAGACAAATCTGGTGAAGGTCTTTTTGGCACCCTTAAAAATATATTGGTTAATTTGGGGTTGAATATTGATGACATTAGAGGGCAAGGTTATGATAATGGGTCAAATATGAAAGGTAAACATAAAGGAGTACAAAAGAGATTGCTGGAAATTAATCCAAGAGCTGTTTACACACCATGTGGTTGCCATAGTTTGAATCTTGCACTCTCAGATATTGCTTCTTCGTCGGACATAGCAGTAGCGTTTTTTGGTGTTGTTCAACGCATATAACACTTGTTTTCCTCTTCAACAAATAACTGTGACATTTTTAAAGAAATTGTGAATGGCATTACAGTTAAGCCATTATCACAAACTCGTTGGGAGAGTCGCATCAACAGCATCGAAGCAATACGGTTTCAAGCTCCTAAGATACGAGAAGCATTGTTTTACTTGGCAGAAAACAGTAAGAATCCGGGAACAAGAAGTGATGCTGAGTCTCTTGCCATGAGTGAAACCCATGGAATAGGGAGTTTTGAGTTTCTGTTTGGAATGGTTATTTGGTATGAGCTTTTGTTTGTTGTTAACAAAGTAAGCAAGATCCTGCAGTCAGTAGATATGGATATGGATATTGATATTGCTATTGCTCAACTGAAAGGACTTGTTTCTTTTTTTAAGGACTATAGAGAAACAGGCTTTCAAGCAGCCAAGATAGAAGCTGAAAAGATTGCTAGAGAAATGAAAATTGATCATGTGTTCTCTAGAAAAGCAAAACGTCCTACTAGAAAAACAATATTTTCATGATGAAGAGCCAGATAAAGTTGGAGAAGATGTGATATTAACACCAGAAGAAGACTTTAGGATCAACTACTTCATCAAAATTGTGGATCAAGGTTTGGTTTCTCTTGAGACAAGGTTTGATCAGCTTCATGGTTATGAAAAGACTTTTGGATTTTTATTCGACTTTAAAAAACTGAAGCTAGCAGAAGATGACAAGCTAATGATTTCTTGTACTAACCTTGAAGCTTTTCTGAAACATGGTAATTATTCTGATATTGATGGTAATGATTTGTTTTGGGAACTGGAGCTTTTGAGAGGGGGTTTACCTAAAGGTATCAAGAAGGTTGCTGAAATATTGGAGATTTTAAAAAAAGAGGGAAAGTTGTTATCCAAATACATGGACAGCATATCGTATAATGATGATAATTCATGTTTCCGTTGCCTCAGCAGAAAGATATTTTTCAAAGTTGAAGCTCATAAAATCTTATCAACGGTCAAGTATGTCACAAGAGAGACTTAATGGATTATCAGTGTTGTCGATCGAAAGGGATATGGATGAGAAGATTGATTATACAACTTTGATGAATGAGTTTGCGGAAAGAAATGCAAGAAGAATCATATTTCAACAGTGATGCATTGATTTTTTATGTTTTAGACCAGTTTTGTTTAACACTAGTTTTTTTTAATTCAATACGATTAGTAAAAAAATTTATGAACCAGCCTTTTTTTTTTCTTCGCTTCTAGCCACCAAAAAGTTAGGACCGGCTCTGGTTGGACCCATCGTAAATTTGTGTGAGCAAAATTTTGTTTTAATCACACTTGGCTCCATAAAATAAGATTATCAGAATCTCTATTACTTGAAATTTTTTTGATGATATTTAAATTTCACAATTTATGTTCACCAAAACAATGAAGTGTATTTCTTTTTCATTCAAGCATCCCACGAAACATCTGTTGGGGACCTACCGATTATGAATGAAAAAAAAAATTGTCGACCTATGAATGGCAAAATCTTGAATAATTTTACTGATAGTGTGAATTTGCGAGCATAATTTAGTTTAATTTACTGCAGTGAAAATTTTACTGATGAAACATTTGGTGGGATCCATATGTCCACGGATTATTGCAATTTTTTATTTATTTTAGAACAATTGGAAAGTTAGTTTTGATTAGGCAAATGTAAGGAGAATGTAATTAATGACTAAAATAATAACTATTGATATATTAAATTGCTAATGAATAGATCCAATAACTTTTTACAGTAGATTTTTTAAATATTTTTGTTTTGATAGTATAGATAGTTCATGGATGCTGCCATATGAATCATATAGTTTGTATAATTCTCAATACATTGTTTTTGTCAGATGTGTAGCCATGTGATGACATTTTATTCGTGTAGCTGATAATCATTTTCTTACTTTTATCTAATGGGGTTGTTTGAATATTTCTATTTTGAATTTATATTATATTTTATGATTATTAAAATTTCTATATTATATTAACTTTGGCCAGAAATTTAAAATCCTTCGTATGCTAACTTGGGACTGTTTCCTATCAGAATGTCCACCTAAACAAACTATAGATACATAAATATATATTAAATAATTATTTAATATATAAGCATATAGAATACAATAGTTATTTCATTTTTAAAATATTATATCTATGACTGAAAGAAAAAAGAAAATCTCATTAAAATAAAGAAAAAGAACACTAGTAAGAGAAAAAAAAATATTACAAATTATTACTTTAATATCTCAAACAAAAATAATTTATTGAAAAGAATAATAATAATAATATACTTAAATGTCAAGAGTGTTTTTTAACAAAGTGTAAACAGGAATGTTTAATATAGTGGGGTTTAATATGTACTATTATAAATAACATGGTAAATAATATTATTCTTTCCTAAAATTGTGAGTAATAGATTATTAAAAATGTAATAATGGAAAAAAGAAAAACAATGTATATATAAGATATAATATACTATTAACCAAATCTTTAGTATATTAAATTAATCATGATTATAGTGATTACTAGGATACAATCCGCGTTGAAACACATTTTTGTTTCTTTTCTATTAATATTGGGCCAATAAAACTAATATATTTTAAATCAATATGTTATTGATACACATAAATTATTAGAATTTTTGATATATCATGGTTTATGG